GCATGTCGCATTTCGCGACGGTGGCCGTCGGTCACTGGTCTCGCTTGTCGCGCCTGGCGTCAGGCTATTGCTCTGGTTTTGTTAACCTAGCGACGCTGTTCCCAGCGTGCACGCGCATAAATGTTACGTTGGAGTATATTGGGCCCTTCATGATGAACTAGAGGCCGTTTCGCCAGCTCCACATATACCAAACTTGGTGTTACGAGGCGTCAATGAATGACGAAGCTATATGACTGGTGCAAACATGATAATCATGAGACGCGTGTCATATAAGAAAATGACAGCATACCACGCTCATAGCGTGCTCGCGACCGTTTCGCTAGCTCTATATATACTAAATTTGGCATGGCTTGAGGTGAACAGATTACGAAGGTGAACGACACGTCCAAACATGATAATCATAACACGGATGTCGTGTGTGGCATAATTTACCTCCACCTCGTAACGTTGTGGTGATTTGAAAGCGACATATCAACCTTCCTCATTCGTGCTTCGCATACCATTGATTCCCACTCTACGTGGGATCTACCAATTTTTTTTTTTTTTCACATTCTGGCCACCGAGACCGAATTGCCGGCCTATTGTGTTCAATAAAGTCTTTTCTCTCTTTCACATTCTGGTTACTGCCAGATGGTGTCATATCTCACGTAGCGCCTCCAGACAGACTACTGTCATCTTTCGACGTCCTTTGCAATGAAGCACGCATATACGCGACCAATTTTGTTGTGGCTGACAAGACCACTGGTTGCCCTCTTTAGCAGATGGCTATGGGGATCAATCAATCAATCAATCACTCAATCAATCAATCAATCAATCAATCAATCAATCAATGCAGTCAATCAATGAACTAGACAGTCAATCAATCAATCAACCATGTCATGACACGCGTGTGAGGCACAAGCAGGCGGAGACAATTTCTAGTCTGTTAGTGACGCCGCTTTTATCTCATCGGGGTATCGCCGTGAGTTGTTGTTGAGCTAGAAGCCACAGCGTCGTATACTTCCAGCACTACAATGGAGAAGCTTCCACTGCGCCGCCGCACTGACCTCAACAGACGTTTCTCCTGAAGTTACAGTGATAACGTGGCTTGTACTTGGTGAGAACTTACCGTAGCGTAATTTCAGGCACCTTTTTTTTTTTTTCACACATGCAACATCGTAGACAATCGCATTGTCCTATCAGGTCAGCAGCGGGGCAGGCTTCTATATATGTCTGCATCCGCCCCTCCTAGAGAAAATATACGAACGTGTAGAAAGAACGCCCGCTAGTAAAGGCAATAAATTAGCCGAAAGGACAGCCCGAAGACAAAAGAGACCTCGTAGAACTGAAGAATGAGCCTAGTCAGTGCCACGGGTCAGAGGTCGCGCTTCATTGGTGGCGACCTTCGCCCATCTCGTTCCAGAGAGCGGCTCGTTAGGCAGCGCGTTCGACCGGGTGCTGCAAAGACGATGTGGCTTGAATAGCAGCGACCAGCGAGTGTGGAAACGTCTGCATTGTTCCGTACGACACGAATCGCAGGAGTCTCTTCGCTGACGGCTGCTGTAGTTGTAGAAGCGGTGTAATGCGCGATTCGATCGGCGCCGCGCTGCGTCTATCGCGATCATTTATCTCAGTCCGGGAGCCAGTCGTTTCTAAATAAGTCTTCAATGGGCCTCTTTTAAATTGGCATACCGAAACGAGACGTTCGCTGCACGATTACAACTCGATACAACTTGAAATGATCAACGCCGATCGAACTAGGAGTAACGCCAGGACGAACTAAGGACTAACGTTTCGACAATGATGCATGGTGTTTGTCAAAACAACAACTGATTTTGCCACAACATGGCGGTGTTGCTTCCTAAAGTGCGTGACGAAGTATTATCTGCCTCGGCGAACACTTGAACACTTCTCGAGACGTTGGCGCCAGAGACGTACTGTTACAAAAGTGCATTTATACAGTCTATAGACTGTCAAAATATATTTTTATTGCGGTAATTTTTATTACATCAGAGCTGTTAGGATTTTTGGTACGCCGCGTGGCGTGATCTGGGTGCCCCCGTCACCACGAAACAGCGTTCTCTCTTCATCTTCTTCTTCGCTCCAAGAAGACGCACTCCGATTTGTCCGGCGTGGGTTACAAAAACCTGATGAGCGGGAGAACGAGTACACAGAAAGAAATGTATACGAAGACCGCAAGACAGAAAAATAAAAAAAAACTGTAAAAAAAGAATATTTAGAGTGCAGTGACGACTGTTTAATACTTGCGCTTGCTTTTACAAAACGAGCGCAAAAGCAGCCGCGTTAACCGAGGTCCCGTCTCACATGACGAGGCGTTGTCCTGTATTCCCGCTTGTATCGAGGCTCGGCATCGCTTGTGCTGACGTTGTTCGACGCCCCCCTGCGTGGGAATAAACTATTGATCCCGGCTGCCGCGAATCGAGCTGTCTGCCGGACCGATACGAGCCGAAATTGAATCCACGACGCGTTTGTCCCGAACGAATCATGGCGATGTAATGTTTCCCGACCGGGAACCCCTTTCGCGCTCCCTCTCGGCCCCCTGGGAGCCAGCTTCCGCTCCGGTTCCTCCTTTCTTTTCGGGGTGGCGCCGAGATTCGTATGATAGCTGTGTAGTTTGCCCCGTACACGGTCTTGTGTGAATATCCCGGACGGGGACGTGTGTTACGAAATCCCTTAAATCGACGGTCGCATAGATTGGCCGATGCGGAAAGTGTTGATGCTATTGCGCAGTCGAGGTTATTACGTCCGCCCCCCATGCATGGGTGGTGGTTCTCATACTCTGCATTCGTTTATTTCATTTTTTTATTGTTAAAATAGCATTTGTTCGGCCTCGTCGTTATCGCTCGTTCTTATCTGTTGTGTTATTTTTTTGTGTAGGTGTTATCTTTTAATTTTACTTTAGGTTCTCATAGAAGCACTTCCTCGTGTACTTGTCTTTTACTGTTTTTGTACTCAGTATGCAGTAACGAAAAGTCCTGCAGGTTTACGCTAATCTTCTTACGTTTAATATATTTTTTTGCAGCACTATGGTACTTTTTGAAATCGGCTTCATACGGCAGCAGTGTCCTCCTTATTCAGCTTCCTCTTGCGTCCTTCATTCCCGTATCGTTTTCACTTTCACTTCTACTGTTTTACGGTTTGTTGCCACGCATATATTTTATCATTAAGTTACGATCCACAGTACAGCACAGTTGCGTTTATGAACTTTCGGCTTGTCGAACGCTGAGGTGTACCAAGCAATGTTTTCTTGTATACAGCTATCGCCTACAGACATGCACCGCGGATTCCGGAAACTGTTTTTCAGTGGCCAACTGAATCGTTTTTTATTGCACTGTTTGTAATAATAGGGAACATGCGTCTCAAGGTTCGTAACATCGAAGTGCAGCTAAGAAAACAATAAATGACCGACAATGAAACGCTATCCCACTTCCTTTATTGCGCTGGTAGTATTTCGCCTCTCTTTCTAGTTGATTTACAACCTTTATGTTTTCTGCTAAACGCTGTACAGATAGACCCAAAGGCAACTAAACTGCCTTGACCTTTCAATAAGCATACACGTATGACTATTCTGCGCGTTCACGTACAACCTGAAAGAAAAAAAAAATGGCAGCATATCCACGGAGTGAATGATGGAGAGTGGGGCGAAGCATTCGTCCGTCCAATCGTTTTTGCTTCCGTCCGTCCATGCGTCCGTCTGTGTGACCGTCCATGCGTCCATCCGACCGTCCGTGCGTGCGTCTGTTCGTGCGTCCGTCCCTGCGTTCGTCCATGCATTCGCCCCTGCGTCCGTTCATGCGTCCATCCATGCATCTGTCTGTGTGTCCGTTCGTCCATCTATTCAACACTCCAAGTACCACCATCTCGCATCTTTTCATCATATATTCCCCATATAGAAGCACCGCCATACAGCGGACATACCAAGGACTAAACGAGAGGTGGCACACGCACACTTTCTTACGGCTTGCGCTTCGTGTCTACTTCCCACCTTTAATCACCTCGAGTTCATGGTATATACTAGTTTACTGTATTCATGGCACTGCGGCCCAACGCTCGCTAAACCTTTCTAAAACCAAGGAGGTTACAACCAGCGAATATAACGTAGCAACCCTTTCTTGTCAGATAGTGCTCAATGTACATGCCAGTGGCTGCTAATGGGGATTGCAGCGTGCGCGTTAACTAAAAGCCGAATGTTCCTGTCTCTCATTCCCCATTAGCAGCCATTGGCATGTACATTGAGCACTATTTTTTACTGTTCAACAACGCACAGAAGAAATCTCTCACCGGCACCACCTTGGAGGTCAAAATGTTATACTTGTTACATACTACAACGGCTACGAGGGACGAACGGGTGCCGCTATAAAGAGCTTCGCCCCTAAAAACGGAACGCATCGGTTGTCCGATTGAGTTCGTGTACAGTTTAATTTCGTTGCTCTTATTTACTTGCTGAGGCTACACCAGTAGCGCCAGTAGCGTCATAAACAAAAGTGTTGGCACGTTAATGTAAACAAGCACGAACACCACTTTCACTATACAACGAACCATTGCGCTTCTGATTCACAATGGTCTTCGTTCTTTCCGCGCCCCGCCGCGGTGGTCTAGTGGCTAAGGTATACTCGGCTGCTGACCCGCAGGTCGCGGGATCGAATCCCGGCTGCGGCGGCTGCATTTCCTATGAAGGCGGAAATGCTGTAGGCACGTGTGCTCAGATTTGGGGGCACGTTAAATAAACCCCAGGTGGTCGAAATTTACGGAGCCCTCCAATACGGCGTCTCACATAATCATATGGTGGTTTTGGGGTGTTAAACCCCACATATCAATCAATCAAATCGTTCTTTCCGCCGGTTTCCGCTGTAGACCCAATGGCAGCTTTTTCTTGGGAACGATAGCAAAGTTGTAGTGATAGTGAAAGTAATGAATCATACTTTCCACAATTGAGAACGTAAATCTGAAATCTACGGAGCGTCGCCTGACTCTCTTTTTCTTTTATTTTTTAATCGCAGGCGTCCTACGAGAACCCGCCGCACATCTACGCCCTGGCTGACACCATGTACCGGAACATGGTCATCGACTCTGAGGGACAGTGCGTCATCATCTCGTAAGTGTTCGGATCACCTCGCTTATTTATTGTTTTCTCTTTCAGGATGTGCGTAAGAAACATAAGTTTCATTCTACCCGACGGCTGTACTGAACGCCAGCAAACGTTTACTCCGCAGCATTTCAAAGATACGAACCATCGTGTACGTCGCGTGAATGCCGAGCTCACCGTTCACGTTCCCACAAGCTTCTTCTGCGCTAAAGCTCATGGGCACAAGATTCCTACGCGTCGCTATCTTCATTCGCTGAGCTTTTGCATTTTTTATTATTTTATTGAAAAAAATATTCGCACTTTCAGCAGTGGAGCTGTTTAGCACTACGTTTCTTCGTCACAGCCCACTGTTCTTAACGCGTTTCTTGATCACTCCGCAAGGGTCCATCATGTGCGTATTGCACTTTGTGGGCTAGATGTAATCAATGAAAGACTCCTTTTAGATCAAGGCTGCCCCAACATCACCTGCGGTATGCGCGTGCTGCTGCAACTTTCGACTCCTTCGTTTAGAGGGATATACTAATGATCTAAGAAACAAATAATGAAACACAATAGCCCTATATTACCATTCTGCACGTTTTGAGCAGTAGTTTGCGCGCATCGACAACAGCCAAATATCTGTGGACACTATTCTGCCAAGTGCCCGAGAGAAGACCGATCGCAACACAAGGCGACAAAAGCTCTGTTGGAATCCCTACGCGACACGGTCTTGAACAAGCGGCTGTAACAGCAATGTCACACAGCGCGAAAGACAAGACTGAGCTATGAGTGAGTGTGCGCGCGTGTGCTGCCGAACGTGCTGTGTTTATCTCTCTTCCCCCTCTGCTCTCTATCTTTCATCTCCGCAATCCCCCTCCCATGCGCAGGGTAGCAAACCAGCTGCCTAAAGGCTGGTTAACCTTTTGCCGTTCTTTTCCTCCTATTTCACTTCCCTCCTTGAGCAGTAGTTGATGAAACAGAAGTCGAAAGTTCTATATATCGCATTTCATTTCATTTCATTTATTGATACTGTCAGCCCTTTGCGGGCGATTACAGGTGTGGAGTTGACTCATATGACGCAACATATTATGACGCTTCATTTGTTTAAATGCAACTGTTTTAAATGTTATTACTGCGTTGAGATTGCTTACATGGCTGAATGAAATCTTATGAAAGGGAATTGCTAGAGGCTGGCGATTATGCTTCAGGGATTCTCCTGTGCACTCGTTCACCTCCTGTCTTCGTCTTTTTGCGCTGTTTCACAATAAAGCCGAACCAACTAGCCGAGTTTCGCACGCTGATGTTACCGTAGGCCGCCGTAACGATAACGATAGATGTTCTGGGAAAGGACTGCGCCACAAGGTGGCGTAAACGACGCGGCTGCTTACGTAGTTGCCTCCGTTAGGATAACGTTTTCTACGGCTGAAGATGACTCACTGCGTAATTACCGACAGGGGGGCGATAAGAAGAATAACGGAGGAGGCACTGTCGTCGTAGTTGAGCTGTTGCCCATCGAGCATCACCAACTCGCCAAAGTTTTCACGTTACTACGGCTAAGTAGTCTACGATTCCCCCGGAGTGCATTTGCTGTTCCGGAAACCCTCCTGTTCTACACTATCCTTTTTAGAGACCCTCTTCCTAATCTGGATGAACTAACCCGGAACCCATCCGTGTACTCTGAGACGTGTAGTCGGGCACAGAGGGTCGTCCATGACAGCGTGCGTTCCACGTACTGCACGGTTACCGAAAGTGAAGCAGACGCGAAGACCTGGCCCGTTCGTTATACGATAACGACCGAACGACTGCTGAACTGGAGCCGTTATCTGGACGAGGCAAGAGGGGTTCGTGCCACCACGGTATTAGCTGTACGCAGGTCGAGGCTTATCCTCATTGCGGGTGTACCGCTCCGATGCGGGGGAAAACCGGATTAAGGAGCTCCGAGATTAGTTGCGGAGAGACTGTAGGAATTAGTAGACGCTGTCTGCGTCCCAGCCCGCCGGAGCTGACTTGTGGAAAATATGAGAGTCGGAGCATAACGGACTGGCAGTTAAGTTGCAAGGGCAATATGGTTTCGTTTAAACCTCTTTTGGAGCCCTTTCACTTTATATTTTGAACTAGCCTTATTTTCCACTACTTTTGTGTCTGTGCATTTGTTGGTTGGTCAGTAGGGTTTAACGTTCCAAACCGACTGGAGTTATGAGAGACACTGTATTGTAGTGCTCCGAATAGTTTCTACTTCCTGAAGTTCTTGAACGTTCCCTAACATCGCACGATACGCGGATCTCCGTATTTCGCCGTCATTCAACTGCGACAGTCGCAGCTGGATTCGAACTCACGTCTTTCAGATCAGCAGCAGATTTTATCCTGACCACTCAGCCACTACGGCGCTTGGGCGCAGCCAAAAATTTTTTTGCGGTAAGGGAGGGGGGGGGGGGGTCAGTTACATTTTATGTATGTTCGTGCGTTTGAATGTGAGCGGGTGTATATAAAGAAGCAAAATTTTGGGGAGGGGAAAGAGTGTTAAATCCCTTCTTTCCTGGCTACACCACTGCTACGGCGGCTGAGATGTCATCACCTGTGCAGCTCACAGGCACCCGGCGGTTGCCACTGTGCGAATGGACTGTCAACGTCGAGTTACGGTAAAGCGTGCCGTGCTTGGAAATTCAGGACGCGTATATGCGAGAAGAGTTCGTGACAGGACGCCCAAAGAGGCGGTAAGTGCGGTAGCCAACATGCGTGTACGACGTAGTTAAGGAGAAAGCCGGGACTTGCGGGGAGACCGAAAAGAAGTCGCCGCTCGCCTAACCAGATTACGGGGCGCGGTCAGGCAACTACATGGAGAGCTGCAGAAAAGTAGTATACGCCGGGTGAACGGAGGCGCGCGCTGAGTTTCTTTCTCGTATCGCAACCCGTGCAAACGAGGCTGTTCGTCAAAGCGGAGCGGCCTGATGCTTGCCGCAAGCGCGAATGTTTCTGCTCCGAGGCATCTTCCACTGGCATCGCTCTCCAGGTGTCGTACTGAAAGGGCAGGGAGTAGCGTTGTGGCAGGCTGCCGTGCCGTTAACGAAATAAACCGCATTGCAAGCTCTGCCAGCGGTGCCATCGTGCGCCAGTCTTGGCGCACGCACTGTAGCGACCGTCTCTGCACCTGTAATGCGGTTTGGCTCGGAAGCGGCGTTGCGAAACGGGAAGCCGTTTTCTTTCGGTACCGCATATATCCGCACATGAGCATATACGCTTAGGCCGAAAGCATTTTTGTACACGACCTTCTTTACTGTTCAGCCTATTATACTTAGGAGGGTGAAAACTTTGGGGAAACTTCGATCGATCAATCAATCAATCAATCAATCAATCAATCAGGTAGTCAGTTAGTTAACCATCAATCAATCAATTATTCAATCAATCAATCAACAAGAGATAGCTTTCTGGTGCGCAAAACACAATAATTGGCATTTGGGCTTTCACTCGCTATGTGAAAACAGGGGCTCATGCAGTTGTGCCAGGCAAGACACAGGACTGGTTAATTGAACTTTCGCGTTTTCGGCAACGCTAAAGCAGAATAAAGCAGTCGGGTTATAATCTGGTAAATGTGGCACACGTGAAAACGTGGTACTTTGCGCTTGGTATGATCTTCAATGGGTGCAGAAGAAAAATGACGGCAATAAAAAAGATGTTAGGCGTTTTAGCCACGTGTATTCGGATTTCAGGATGGGCCACTTGAGCAAACTGCGCCTGAAATAAGCGCGTCGTTCTCGCTAGGAAGGTGCCGGAGCCAGGTTGGCTCTTTATGCAAACCAAACATGGGAAAATTAAATTTACGAAAAAAAAATAAACGATGCGAAGAATGGAACGGGACTACGCTTAAAGGTTGTTTCCTCCTGTATCGCCCGCTGAACAGTTTCGTAAGAAATCCTTGTGCATCCATTTCTCTGTCTTTCTTGTACAAGCAAAGAGACAAAAGCACGTTTGTGCGAGCTCTCGGATAAGGCATAAACAGCCTTCTATGCCTTGAATGCACGAAGTTCCTCGTGGGCGATTGAGCACGCACCGCGAAGAATAATGCCCTCCGGACGGCTCCACGCATGCATTGTCCGGGGCGTCGTCGATCGACAGGGGTTATCGCATGTAGGCACGCTGGCTTGTCTATATACGCCATTATGCGGGTAATAACACGCCGTTAGCCTCATCGCTTTTGGCGTATTCAGAAGAAGCGCGACAGGCGGTGACGTTCGGGGTAGCACGAGTGGTTAGTACACAGTAGGCGTCGCTTTCTCATTAGTACCTGCAAGCTCGCCCTTTCTTTCTTTCTTTCTTTCTTTCTTTCTTTCTTTCTTTCTTTCTTTCTTTCTTTCTTTTTTCTTTCTTCTTTCTTTCTTCTTTCTTCTTCTTTCTTTTTTTCTTTCTTCCTTTTCTTTCTTTCTTTCTTTCTCTCTCTTTCTTTCTTTCTTATTCTTCTTTCTTTCTTTCTTTCTTTCTTTTTTTACCAACGCAGCTATCCCGGATCCACGTATAAGACCTTTTTTTGTAAGTTTCTATTTGACACCTTTCGAATATGTGTCACTGAACGTCGGAAGTCGAGCGCGAGATAACTCCTACATTACCCCCCCCCCCCCCCCCATCTCGGTAGCATCCGCAAGGTCGTGACAGCAGCATATTCGAGACTTAGGCGAGACACCCAAACTTAAAATAAGATATAAACGAGCCAGATGTAAAGAAGACGAGCAACCCTTCGGACTCAAAGGCTGGCCACTCAGAGGAGAAAGAAAGAGAAGTGAAGAGGTAACGCATGGAACCGGAACAAAAATGAAATGGCCGTATAGCGAAAGAGGCACCATCGATTTCGCGTCGTGGCCTCCTGGGTTATAGCAGATTTGCTCACGTACGCAGACACCACACACACATAAACACACACACGTACGGTATATACTCTCTGCACAGAAAGAACGGCTGCCTCCAGAAACCCGCGCGGCATTATTTACTCCGACGCTGGCCACTATTTGGCGGCCTGTCTGAGAGCGGGTGAGGGATCTGTACACCTGCTCTTGTTGCTGTTCTCTTACGGCACGCATCTTCCGCAAGCCGGCCACTACAACTTTCTTCGGTGTGCCCCGGGAAACTTACCTGAGGGCTATGAGGTCCGCGGGAAAGAAGCGATAACGGTTGTTCGTAGGCCAATGATTTACCGTCCCTATCTCGGGTGCCCTTCTTGTGGTCCCCCGCAGCGCCTGGTCTCTGCGTCTTCTATACACTTCTTATTCTTCTGCTACCGCAGCTTCGACACGTCTGCTGTACTGTAACAGCGCGAACGCTGTCTTGGGCTTTGGGTGTTATTCTCTGCAGACTTCGCATCTTTGCATCATAAGTATATATGGCATATATAAATGAGATGACGTGGGACCTCTGTGTCTGCGGCATAGAATACGTGCAGGGGAAGTATGTGTTTAAGAGCTTATGATCTGTTTTTGTGTTAGAAGACGAATCTGCCTTCTTTTTTTATTTCTGCGTTTGACGCCTAATAGCCTGTCCTCTATAGTCTGACCTTTTTCGCGTGCACGTACGGAGGTACGGAAAGAAAGTAAATTGGTGAGTGAGTATTGCAGGTAATATCCGACAAAGTCGGGACGGCTGAGCACGTATAAGGTGTAAGTCCAGTTCTTCCGCATTCATACATGGTGCGCGTTAAGGCTGCAAAAAGCTGCCGCGAGTTTCTATGCAAGTAACTGATGCCAAGGACGGCAGGCAGAGAGAGTGTTACTGGCTCAGTTTATCACAACGGTGATAGAAAAAACTTCGTTGCGGTTATCTTTTGTTTGAACTTGTACTGGCTTTTGTTCTCGCGGCTTGTCCACCTGTGTGTGTGGGGGGGCGGGATGGGGGGCTTTACTTTAGGTACGTTCTCTGAAATAACTCAACGAAACTGATTGCGTTAGTGTTGGTTGTAGTAATCGGCTGTCATCGCTATAGTTTTACAACCCATATGGAGCTATTGTTGGACGAAATTGCTGTCGGTCATCTTATACGACAGGCAGCTTCCGCCTCACCACAACGAAGTACTGCAGAGACGCATCAGACGAGTGTGCGCTTACCCTCCTAGCGATAGCGACAAACCTATTTCTATCATAGGCATTCTCGGAGGCGTTCTCATTTTGGCCAAGCAGCATCGTTGTTGCTTATTTCTGGGCGGTTGGGGATCGCGCTACCGGCCACCCCTGCCTGCGGCAGCGTGGGATGATGGAGTGGCAAGACGAATCCTCCAGATGATTACTTCGTGGAAGGCGCGGCGTCTCTGGCGTGGTCCAGAGAACGCGTTTGTTTTTGATTGCCTGAGGAACGACAGATGTGTAGCTTCACTGCTGGCATCCCGGTCCGAGATGGGCTGTAATGGGGTGGTGGAACTAAGAGCTTGAGTCCTTGGCGGCAACGGCGTTGCAGTGCAGGAAGTGTGTGCCCGCAGGGCGTACAGACGGGTTGGGATCTCGTTCCGTTTACCTGTGGTGCTTTGCACCGGTTGGTTCGTTAAGCTAGTTTCTTAGTACTCGTAATGCCAATTTGCGGATAAAAAGTTTTCGTTGTCATTTTCAATGCTAGACCTGCCGCGGGCTTTCTGAGTTGACACCAAGACGTGTTCTCAACGAGAGCGGCAGAAATAGCGTCGTTTTCTTCCTCAAGCTCTCGTCGTCTGCCTAAAGAGATCATTCTCGGCTTTTATGGCGCTTCGTTTGTCGTGTTTTTTTTCTTTTTCTTTTTTGCGAATCCTCGGGAAACTGTGAATGAAAGAGGAACCAAAAACGTAGAAGGCAGCGAGATGAAACATAAAGGCGTCTGCTTTGCTACCTTACGCAGAGAGAATGGGGAAGGGCAATAGAAAACGAAATGAACAGGGATGAACGGAGGATGAAGGAAAGTGTTACAGAAACCCTATGAAACTGCCTCAGAGCACGTGTACTACAAACTAGCCTGTATTCATTGTTATACGCAAAAGAAGTATATGCTCTGTGACGACAGTCTCTGTGATATTACATCTTGTTGTTTGCGATAAATAACCGTGCACTCACGAGTAACCGGCCGTATTACTGTTTATTCATGTACCCTAAAGGCCCGAGGGCATTACATAGGGGGGGGGGGGGGGTAATAGTATACATATATAGAAACTAACACGAACAATCATGTGAGAAAATGTATGAAAAAGTGAATAACAATAACTGTTGATGAACTACTTCGCGGCAGGTATGCTGTCGCCGTTCATTCAAAGTGGCGCATAAGGGATTGCTTACTGCGAATTCGTTCATGAAACTTATAGTTTGCAAATATGAAACACGTGCTGATTTTTTTTAAGACGTCATTTCTCACCGACAATTTGTTTGCGACTTTCTATTTATGACTTATTTGAAACCGTACTGTCAGTGGAAGATTCGAAGCTTCGTCGCACTAGGCAGCAATGCAACTGCACGTCATCCATAGTTAGAAAGCATGCACTACGTGGTTCCTCTACTCACGGTTGTCCGGCGGCGTTGTCGTAGCCGGCGGAGGCGGCGGTGTAGGCCTGCAGAGGTTGTACGAGCGCCCTCTTCCTGAGAGTCTTTCTGGCGACACCCGTCAGTTGCTCGAAGCTGGAAGCGAGCTGAGAGTTGTTGAACACCTCGGACAAGAGCATGTCCTCGCTGCCAGCCATCGCCGCGGTTAGGCACGGTGGCGTGGAGGGCTTCTCGCGCGTGTCCACGTCTACGGACGCGGTCAGGTGCGAGAACATCAAGCGCCGCTGCCGCAGCGTGGTGGGCCTTGGCGCCGGCACGGGCTCTTCCAGGGCGGAGAAGCTGCCGGCCGTCTGGCCCGTGATTTCGCGGAGCATCACCTCGCGCTCTTTGGATGACAGAATCTTGTGGTCCTTGCCGATGACCTCTTGGGCCAGCTTGGCAGTGACCGGGTCGGGCGGAGGAGAGACGAGCGGCGCCGTCATCGTCTGCTGCAGCGGCAGCGACGAGGAGGTTGTCATCTTGTCCTCCAGGCTCTTGGAGGTCGTCTTGGTTTGCTGCGGGTGTCCCCTGGAGGGACTCTCCAGAGAGGAGCTCTTGTTGCTGGCGGCGAGCGATGGCTGTCGGACGGTGGCCGCTGGTCTCGTCGTCTGTTCGACCTCGGTGACAACGTCGAACTCCCTGGACGTCCTGTTTGGTGGGGGCTTGGGGTTGCTGCGCGTCCTGGGTCGCATGGGTGCCACATAGCCAACCCTGCTGTCCATGAGCGACCGCGTGGGGCTCTTGAAGGTGGTAGTGTCGTCGTCGCGCTGCTTGCTACTGCTGCTGCCGATGTTACCGCTGCGGTTCAGCACTTCCGGCGAACAGCTCTCGCTGCGAAAGTGCCGCCTGCGTCCCGGTGCGTGGCGCCTCTCTGTCTCGTCGTCCGCTCTCAAGGCCCTCTTGGGGCTCTGGCGGGACGTCCTCTCCGTGCGCTGCTGCGAGTGCTGCTGTTCTTGGTGATGGTAGTTGCCCGCGGGTACTTCACTGCTGCTGATGCTGATGCCTTCTTGTTGGTCCTGAATGTGGTTGCTTTCGCGCTGCTGCTCGGTTCGTCCGCGGTCCCCGTCCCTCGGCGACGTCTCGGCTGCCGACGTTGCTCCCGCTGCTGGTGACTTATCGGGGAACGCGTCGGTCTCCTGAGATCCCCAAGGGCTGACGACGCCCGGGTCGTTCGTTTGGATCGTTGACTGAGACATGCTCTACGCTGCTGTGGTGGCTGTGCTGGTGTAGTGGTTCTTGTGGCCTTTCACTCTTCCCGCTCACTTTTGGCGCATTATATTGTATTTTTCCTGCGTGTTTTCTTTGGCACTGTTTCAGGTCGGGTGTTCGTGTAGCGATGTAGAGACGACTTCTTTTGTGGGTCGAGGAGTGGCCGGGAAAACTTTTCTGCGAAGACTCTTGGTGTGGCTTTGGAAAGGGAGACCTCGTTCACCTCATGATCTGCAGCACAAGTACCTGTAAAAATAAATAAGGAGGTTCACGATACAAATCACGCATTTTTCCAATTTCACTCTTGTTTGCTTTAGCACCTAGCTGATTGGTGCAGTGCATATCTGGCGTCATTGTTGAAATGTGGCTACAAAAATATTTCCTAGCTGGGAGAAAAACACTATTAATTGCAATGTGTGAGCTACTTAAGCGTATCGTCTTCAAGCCGACCTTAAAAGCACCGTACGTCTCCGTTGTAGTGAGAATAGAAAACGGTGGTCAACATCATTGTTTTCTATTCGCAAAGGTGACGGTAAAGGTTTTGTAAATGTTATACCAAGCTTCACTCGGCAACATATCGTCATCTTGGGTGAAAAGAGTGACCGCAAATGAGACCCCGGTGGTGAACACTTGTATCACCTGTTCCAGCTATGACCCCGAATAGACGCTTTGCACTGGTTCGCCAAGCGCACGTGAGCCCTAGACCTCGTCCGCGGTTTCATATCTGATTGATTGATTGATTTGTGGGGTTTAACGTCCCAAAACCACCATTTGATTATGAGAGACGCCGTAGTGGAGGGCTCCGGAAATTTTGACCACCTGGGGTTCTTTAACGTGCACCCAAATCTGAGTACACGGGCCTACAACATTTCCGCCTCCGTCGGAAATGCAGCCGCCGCAGCCGGGAATCGAACCCGCGACCTGCGGGTCAGCGCGGTTTCATATCTATCCTATAGCCTTTTTCAGGTGTAATAACTGACATTTTATGAACTGCTTGCTCTCTTTGAGGATGTTCTAATGAGAGTATACTATAGCGCGGCCATGGGGAGAACTGGCCACAGTGCCTCAGTGATTCCAGGGCGCATTTCCTTCGTCATTCCGAGGCCTAATATGATTACATAAAAACATTGCCAGTGTTGTGGCCCTAAAACCACTCCTTCTACGGCTCGTGCTAATAGCAGGGCCATCAGCGGGCGCACCGCGTGACAACGAGGCGCGCTCCAGGTGTAATAGAGCCATTATTCCGTGGCATGCATACTCTGGTCTCGCGGGATGTGGCGTTGCCGCCTGGTTTGTCATCATTTATGCATGAACCGTAACGAGAGAAGTCTGTTGATGGCGTCATTAACATATCTCTCTTCTTTAGTGAATTCTTTTTTGTTGTGTTCGGTTTCTCTTCGCTTTCGTGTACCTGCAGTAGGACAAAATGCGACCTTGGATGGAACTAGAGCGCTTCATCCTACTTTCCTGTTTGATCATTAAGCTGCGAATCACTTCATTGCATACTACAGACACTTTGAGCGTTCCTCAAAGGACGGTCCCGGCAGCACTCACATAACCTTGGAGATACTTAGAGCACACATTAGACGCCGTGCTCGCACCCCTGCCCGCCACCTGGCTTCTACTCCAGAAGACTGGTTCTGTGCATCTTTTTGCTAGATTACTTCGACCAATCAAGAGTGCCTGCTAACAGACTACACACCTAACGAAAGAATCCTGACACTTCCTTGGTTCCTGGATCAACCTAAACATTATCGGACAGTACCAGGGATTCGTAAGATGGCGGAGCTCTCGTCGCCAGCTTTGAAGCAGCTGTCAGTGCTGATGCTACACGAGGAACATGCAGGCCGCACTAAACTGTACACGGAAGATTTGATGACTGTTGAGGGATCTGCAGGAGTTGTGGACTTCCTAGCAAAAGGCGAAACGTATAACTTCAGAACGTCCGATAGGACTGAATCGACAGCTTTGGAGCTGGCGGCACTCCGCCGTGCACGCTTCGGCTGACTCAACGGGAGTCACCACAATAACGGGGCGCATTCACCGACTCCGAGTCAGCCCTGCAGTGTCTGTCGTCAGCATGCGTGTCGTGGTGCACAAAACCAACTAGTAGTGCAAATAAGATAAACTTATCAGCAATAGGATGACAAAAAGGCATGACTTCTTTTTCCAGTGGCTTCCAGGCCACTATGGCATCGACGCCAACGAACATGCCGACGATTCTGCCAGGAACGCTCTGAAAGTGGCGTACCGTAATCCATTCTAATATCAATAACCGACGAAGTATCAAAGATTCGCTCGCTCGCCCGTGATGTAACCGACGCAGTGTGGAACACTACTGGTTTTCCGCACACCCGCCTACGCCGTTAGGATCGTTCACTTCAACTTCAAATTCCATCCGGACTATCCAGATCCGAAACAACTGTCCCCTACCGCTTGTGGCTTGGAGTATCATCCACAAACAGTTTTATTTTTGTCGAATCGAAATAGTTGACAGTGCTGAGTGTGATCACTGTGGCAGTGATAAAACCATTGTCCACGTCCTATGCGACTGTCCTCATTATAGCTCCCAAGGACAACAGCTTTCGGCAACGCTAGCACGTCTCGTTAAGCGGCCGCTTTCCTAGTAGTGAATTTTTTTTTTTAGCGCTGGAACATTTTACCTTCCAACCAGACAGAGGCGAAGGCGCTGCTGAAGTTTTTGTGTTCAACGGGACTCGCAAAATGACTGTGCCACTCCTTTTTTAAACAATTCATCGTTTTTTTTTCCCTCCTTACCTTTCTATTCCCGGTGTGCCATCCCCTGGCTACGCCTCTGTTGCCAAGGCACTGGCGCCGCGTCCAGATAGTGCGACGCAGGGAACGCCTCCCACTCCTCACACTGCACGAGTTCTGTGTCATTGTCCTCGCCACAGCTCCCGGAGACTACAGTTCTACACCCTGGAACGGCTGGAAAACCAGCAGCTTTCCAAGCAATCTATTTGGAATGACGGAACTTTTCGAGCTTTCCTCTAGAAAGCGACGAAGGTGCTGCCGAAATTTCTGTGATCAACATGCTTCGCTGAAGGACTGTGATACACCCGGGTTTGCTTGCTTGCCTGCATGGGTGTTTCAAAGTGGGTATCAAAGTAGATATTTATCTTCAAGTTAACCTTATGTTTGTGTCTCTCTCTTTGGCTCCGTAAAAAAAAAACAAGACCCCCATCATCTGGCGAAGCCTTTCACGCCGCCGATTAGAACAAGTTGTGTTGGCGATTAAAAAAACAGCAAAAAACACATTCTCTTTGAACGACAATCCGCCTCATTGACTGCCCTTCTGTCTTTTCGTATATAATGCCAATCAGCGGAAATTCCTCGCGAACATTGACTGATTGCGTTCTTTGGAGACAGTTGCCTTCGGTCAACGTTCGTTGAAACGTGATTTTCGGGTAGAACGAAGAAGCTTAGTAGGACTGGAGACAAAAAAAAATAAAAAATGAGTGCGTGGATGAAGTTAGTCGTAAGTGATGAAAAAAAAAAAAACGTGGATATCTTCAACCAAAACTAAGACCGACCGAGCGTTTCAATCTAGTTCCACTTACCGTTTCGTACTAACATGCGTGGGGTGCCGAAGCGCGTTTTCTTTTATATTATTTTTCCATGAAAGCTGCCATCCTCCTGCTTCATCGTTCTTGTTTCGCGCCAGTAATAGGTTTCGGCCGAAGAACGTGCCTCGCGAGTTAGTAAAAAAAAAAGCGCATTGTGAAAGCGGCCTTTCATTCTCTGGAACGCAAAAAAAATGCAAAAATTGAGATTGGACGGTTGTTTGCTAACTTCGTTTTTCTCCTTCGCATTTTTTTTTCAGTTGTTAATTGATATGTGAGATGACTGGCACAAACGAGGTGCCGGCTATTCCTAAGCTGTTTAATGAATAACATACAATTCAGAACTTTCTCTTCGTTACGCAATCAGTAGCATTTCGGAGTGGTTAAAAAACGCCATTCCTGCACGGAAGACGCTGCACAGTCACAGCGAAAGCTAGAAGAGCGGTCTTTAGAGCCTTTCAAAAAAACTCATTGGGTAACTACGCACGCACACTTGCTGGACTAGGGCATTAATAACAAAATTTTTGGGGTAGTAGGCCGACATTCGCTTTGCTATTTTTCGTCATTCTAAGAACTGTCGTATCCGCTAAACACTTGCAAGGAATTTCATGCCTATTGTTCATGCAGTGGCTGACGACGATGATGAATTATGGCTGTAGTGTGTATGCGGCACCGTTAATAGGGGAACAATAACAAGCTTTTGAAATGGGTTGGTGCATCGGACGACCCACTCGTTATGCTATTCGCATTGTGCGACGACTGGTTGTTCTTTCGCTGTTTTAAAACGCTTTATAAGTCGTATTAACGCGATTGATTTCCCGACATCAAACCTACCTAAGGCAAGCTTGCCAACAAGTCCCAAGCATTGGTGTGGCTCAGTGGTGAAATACTGGACTGGCACCCAGCGGACCCGCGTTGGAGCCCCACTGTGTCATTGGTGCTAGTGTTTTTTTTTTTTTTAAATGCGAAGCATTTCGTAGTGAACTCCAGTGAAACTAAAATTGGAAACTCCGGGAAATGTGAAACAAACGCGAAAGGCTCGAATTGAAGCCTTTTAGTGGCCTGGTTTCTCGTGTTGTAATAAAACGAGGGATAAGTTTTCAATCAAAGAAGGGGGGGGGGGGGGGGGGAGTCGTAGAACATGCACACAACACGGGTGGTATATCCAACGGCACCACTTTGTTTCACCTGTCTCTTTAGCATATTAACAAACCTCAAGCTTTTTTTTTAAATTTTAAGCTGCAAGTATACAGATGTTGGCCATCCGGCATGTCCGGTACAATGTTAGTGAATGGCTGCAGTACAATGGCAGACATTACGCACCAATAAAAGACATTATAAACCCAGCTTTTTTTTTTTTTTTTGGGGGGGGGGGTGTTAAAACCGTTTGGTCATCGGTGGTTATTACGAAGCTCAATAGTGTGGCGGTTGCCTGTTCTCGCTAGACTAGCAGCATCGTGACTTCAGAAATAGCTAGTCTTTTTATTCTACCTTTCTTGCACAAGAATTTGATTTTCCTGCATTTCATGAGACGTATTATTTTTCACCTTATCTCTAGTACCAATAAAGGGCGTATCATTATAAAATGGAGGCTGTAATTACGTTAAGAAATACTTCCACCACGTAGTAGATCTGCAGAATATCCTATTTCAATTAGGG